TTCTTACCCTAACCCTAATCTAACTTAGGCCGGTTTTAATCTGACGCAAGAATTGATCTGAGGCACGACATATACATATATAAGACATGTACATTTCTAAATTTGAGGTTAGATAATTAAAATTCTATAGTTCTAGAAAACCAATTGAATTTTTTTTCTTGTACTACCTAGAAAGATTATTAGTTATTCTAAAAAAACTTGATAATACTGTACAAGCACTTTAGTTTTTTAAAAGATATGAGGGTTTAAAACTTTGCTACCACAACTAGAAGGGACAAATCTATATGCTAAAAAATTTTGGTAAGAATCAACTGCAGTTAAAAATTTTTTACTAATTGCGCATTATAAATACAAATATAAAATTTTTTTTGTACAATAAAATAATATATAAAATGATCGACATCTTAAAAAACTAATTTTTAGACTACCGTTGAAGAAATTTCGTGAAATAGGAATTATGTAATAATCAACTTGTAGCACGCTTTTAATTTAGCTTAGAAAATAGGAGGGGAGGCTTAATAAAATTTAGAGTAATTGGGCAAAAATAGGTCAAAAAACATTTTAGCGTCCAAATTTGTACGCTAGACGGTTTAAGGGATAATTTATTTTAACTTATTGTAATACTGCAATAACGATAATATATACAGTATATATATATATATTTTCAAAAAAAATTTTTAACAGATTTTTATAATACTGAAGCAGAAAATTTCCTATTAAATTCTGTGGTTTAATAGATAATTAATAGTTTTATTATTTTTTTAAACTATCAACTGATTTTGAACTTTTTACAAACGTTTATAAGTCCAGATTAGTCTGTTCGGACTGCAAAGCATTGATTCTTTCTAGAATATCCTGTCTTTCAGTTGAAAGATTCGAATATCGTTGCTGAAGTTCCGATTCGCGTTTTATAAGATAATCAACCTCATTTTGGAGGGACTAATAGTATTAACCATATTAATAAAGAATCGGACATTATGCGTTCGCTAAAAATGACTAAAACAATGTTAAAATACCTGAATGCGTTTTGGTATTGCTTCCTCTTCTGAGATACTTAAAGATTGAAAAGAATCGAGTTCGATTTTTGCTTGTTCAATTTCGTCAAAGGTCTCGGAAATATTCTTTGAAAGAGTTCGAGATCGGGCCTACATGTATAAATAATGTTTTTTATTACTTAAATACGGTTATTAAATATAATGCATAAAGTTAAATACTTTCAACATACAGCATAACCACCCAATATGATGCTTAGTCTTTTCTCCAACTTAGCAGCCTTTGTGGCTTCTTTAATCATCAAATTACGATTAGTCTGCATTAAGAACACAAGTTCAAATTAGTTTATTTATCAGATAAGAATATAATTTAAAAAGAAAATGTTTACTTCGAATTGATTGTGAAACTGGTTTGTTACGAGAGTGTTATTAATTTGGATCCATATTTCATCAAAATCTTCATTGGAAAGTTCATTGGTAACCTTTGTAAGTTCTAAGTCTATTTCTTTCTTCACCTAAATTATTATAATTAAGGTGAATAATCTTGAAGAGATGATTTGCAAACAAATACAAATCTTACCCGATCAATCAATTCATCAGGAAATTCTTCAAATGATTCTAAATCCAAGTTTTCCGGTTTACTTCCATGAACTGGATGCATTACCGCGTCACGTTGTAATAACTTGATCATTTCAATATCGACGAGCTTTTGGATTTCAGAATCACTATCAAGAGCATCTTCGAGTGAAGTATCAAGAACTGAATTGGCGTTAATTGGTCGAGGAAGATCACGCTGTACAGCTTGAGACCTGCGTCTAAGACGAGCCATTTCTAATTAAAAATATATGTAAATACAATAAATTGAATTATTTTTATTAACAGTAAAGCATATATTAAATTAATTAAATGGATTACCTTCTGCTTGTTGTAGAGCCTTCAATTTTTTATCCCTGTCACTAGCATCTTCTTCTATTCCTTCAGTGTCATCTTTAAGTTCTTCTTTCCCTTCGACGTCAGGTAAAACAATTTCAAAATCATTTTTTGGCGCAGGCAAATTTAACAATCCTGCTCTAAGCTGTTTAATAGTCGCAGTATCGACTAAAAAATAAAAGCGTTGTTAGTTTCAACAAAATTTCTTAATTTTTGATGATAATTCTAAGACCAAACAAATCAGATTATAATGAAATGAAAGTTTTTTTTTTTTTTAACTGTGAAAACTCTAAAACCTAAAAATAACCAACCCTAACCTAATTAGTAAAGATATATGTTTCAAAAAGTTTTCCAAAAAAGCGTCACCAAATTTTATATAATAACGAAATATCAAGTATTTCAATTTAATCTGATTTGTCACATAGATTAACTATTATTTTGTTTTATAACATACCAGCTGCTGGTGTTCTTGGTGTTCTGAGTGAAAGGAGGGTTCCTGGTGTCCTTGGTGTTTGTGTCGAACCGGCTACTGTCCTTGGTGTTCTCGGCGTCCTCAATGGCAGGCCAGGATTAGATGGAGTGTAATCTGTAAGTGATGAAATATTATCCGCTTCGCCTACGACTGCTTTGACGTTTTGACCAGCAAACCCAATTTTTACAATCTATAATGGGTAAAACATGTTTTTTTTTTAACAACAATAACAATAGTGGTATATATTGAATACTTTTCGACAAACCTCCTCAAGTTCAGTTTCACCAACTTGTGGCGCAGGAAGAATTAACTTTCTTCGTTTGTTAATTTGTTCTGCCTCTTTTAATTTATTCAATTGTGCATTTCTTGCAGGTACAAAATTAATGAAACCACCTTCGGCTTCATCCTTGTTAGTTTTTTGTTTTTTCTTCCTTTTTTCTTCTGCAATTTCTGATCTTCGTTTCCCCTCTAATTTGTGGAGGTGAACGTTGGTGAGACTCATTTCCGGTTGCCGATTTTTTTCTTCACTAGTATCATAAAATCCCAATGCTGGTTTTTTTTCAAATGGTATGTCTGCATTATAATCCATTCCCTTTTTCTTTTTTTTCACTTTCAATCTATAAATTGATGAAGTAATCCATTTAATTATAACGAGTAAAATGAATTTATTCTGTGATATAAACTCACTCAATACCAGCGGCCTTTAATTCACGTCTTTTTTGTAGAGAAGCTAGACGTCGAGCTTCTTCTAGTTGCTTTTCACGTGCCTTTCGCTTCGCTTTTTTGCCTTGAGTATTAGCCAACCGAGCACGAGCCTCTGATAACATTTCCTTTTCTACATAATTTCAGAGTAAAAAACGGAAAGATGTAAATTTTGTAAATTATGTAATTAAAAATGTTAGTAAATTAACAAACCATCTTCATCCATATCAACAGGATCGGGTCTTGCAGGTTTTGTTTCTGGGTCAGGATCAATCTCTCCAGGTCTAAGCCTTCGAACATCGTCAGCACTCGGACCAGTATCACCTGTTGGCCCAGTCAAATCCAATCCTTCTTTAGCTTCTGCTTCATCAAGCAATCTCTGATACCTTTCAAGACATTGAGATGGCGTTCTTCCAACGATTGGAGCAATGGTCCGCCATTGTGTTGGCATCAATTTTGCTAAATGAAGAAGTTTTTCATCTTCTTCTTTCGACCATTCAGTCTAAATAAATATAAATCAGAATTAATTTTTTATTAAAGTAAAAACTTTTGTATTTAATTGATAGTTAGATTTCAATATAGATTAACACACCTTTTTTATACTAGGATCCAGCCATTCATACCACCTTGCTTTACATTGTTTTGGTGACTTTCTAACTAGCAAGGATGAGATACGGGCCCATTGATTTTTGCCATATTTGCTTACAGCAGCTTTTAAAATCTCGTCTATAAAATAATCAAAATTAACATTTGTTCTTACCCTTACATTTGTTCATTTAGCCTCAATTGCTTACCTTCAGTGTTTTTCCAGATTCCACCCTTAATGATTATTCTCATTTTAAGTTTAGGGCTTCTTTTTAGAGTTAAGGATTAAGGATATATAAATTTATATGGTTTGTCAGGCTGGCTCGTCATATGACTGACGATGATTGATCATCCGATATAAAAGTTCTAAAAAGTTGTAACACCGATTACGTACTTTATAGTCGTAATCGCTATTTATACGAGTTATTTCCCAGCCTTATTAGCAATTCCGTGTATTCCTTTTCAAAATGAAGATCACAATAAAAACTTTGCAACAGAAACAGTTTCATTTAGAAGCTGAACCTGAGGATACTGTGCGTACAAAGTACTTTACAAGTAAATAATATTTTTATTAATACCTGATTTCTACCGTTTTAGATCCTTACGGTGAAGCAGAAAATTGAAGAAAGTCAAGGGCATGCAGTTTCACTCCAAAAGCTTATTTTTTCGGGTAAGGCTATTATTATGTGTCTTTTATAGTGTTTTTATAAGTTTAAGTCTATTTCAAGGTAATAACTAATTTGAAATTTCTGCTAAAAGGAAAGGTTTTGGACGACGGTAAATCATTATCTTCATATAATATTACGGAAAAGGACTTTTTGGTGGTTATGGTTTCGAAGGTAGATTTATGTAATTTAAGATTATATGAACCCAAAGAATTGAATATTTCACGTGTTTCTGTTTTATTCTGGAAGAAATAACAATATTAATTAATTTAATAGCCACCCGCAAAACCAAACGTGTCTTCGTCATCAAACAGTGGTGCACCCTCGTCTATTGCCTCAACTACTACCCCGCAACCTAACTTAACCTCTAGTGCGCCACCGCCTACAGTGATACATCCACCCATTGCCCCGATAACCTCAACTCCTTCCACACAAGAATCAGAACCAGCCCCGACATCGACTCCTGCCAGTAGTACTCCTACTACTAATCCACAATCAATACAATCACATTTTGGCAATGAGAGCGCTCTATGTATGAATTCACAACACTAACTTTTGTAATCTTTTCGACAAAGACAACTTCATGTGTTTATTTAATATTTATTAGTAACCGGCACTGATTACACAAATGCTATTCAAAATATTGTGGAGATGGGATTTGATCGTGACCAAGTTGTGAAGGCCATGCGTGCAAGTTTTAATAATCCTGCTAGAGCTGTTGAATATCTCATGAATGTACGCTATAAATCGCCATAATCGTGTTAATTATTAATAATTTAATAGTCATTAAAAAAATATTACTAAAAAAAAAAAATACTTATTTCAGGGTATCCCCGAATCTGTACAAAACGAACAAATACCTGCTGCTTCCGACCTACCAGGAAATCAACCTGTCCCACCCACAACTGGAAATACTGGTACAGCCACGCCAGGTTAACTTAATGTTTTTGTGTATCAATAATAGTAATTATATTATAATAATTATAATAATTATAAGATTATTAATTATAATAATTATAATTATAATAATTATAATATATAATTAATTATAATGATTATAATAATTAATATTACCATAAACAGCTCTACCACCAAATCTTCTTCAAGCTGCTGCTTTGGCTCAACAGTTACAGCAGCAGCAACAACAGCCGCAGCAGCAACAGGGAAATGCTGAAGAGATGGCCTTCTTAAGAAGCCAGCCTCAATTTCAGCAATTGCGTCAGCTTGTACAGCAAAATCCAGCACAATTGCCCAATTTGCTCCAACTAATCGGACAGAATAACCCTCAATTGTTACAGGTGATCATTGCGTTTTAGTTTATATAATTATTGCTAAACTGTTCTACTCGTTAAAAATATCTTTTTTTTTCTAGTTCATCAACGCCAATCAATCCGCGTTCACTCGTCTCTTGCTGGAGGGTGGAAGAACGCCATCTCAATGTCTTGAAAGGTATCAGAGATTGCT